TGAAAATGAAAATGAAAATGAAAATGAAAATGAAAATGAAAATGAAAAAAAAAAGAGGGAGAAATAAAACCCCAGAAAAACAAGTTATGTAAATGAAAAACAATTACTCACCGCCAACCAACCTATGTCCAGCTGATTCCTAAATAATGTCCCTTTTAGATTTCCCTTTAGTTTGCATGCTGAGCATGAGACAACACCATATTATATGGAATATCCCTTTTTAACTTTTAAGGGCTAGCTCATACTGTGTAAACTTCCTTTACATCAGTAGAATTCCATGACTTTAGGAAAGTACAAGGAAATGTCATGGGTTTGCAAAGGCAGCAAATACATAAGTCTTTCCCTTCCTTACTAATTGCTATCAGAATAAATGGAGAAGAAAATAGGACCAACGAGGTCTATACCAGCAACATTCATATTTTCCCTCTGGTTGTCTTTACAGATTATTGAATATTTTCATATTTAATTAATAGCAAATATTTCTGTTCCTCGAGCCATGTAGAGGCAGTTATGAAAGTTACTATTGATTATATATTTGCAAGTCTGTATGTTCCTTTTTACTGTGTTATGACCTTGGACAGATTCGTCTGAGACAGGTAGATGGCTCTACTATGGTCTATTATACAAAGATTCAGTCAAAAAATTTTTTCATTTCCAATATTGGACGCCTACATTCTAGCAAATCATTTCATCTTGCAGGACCCTAAATACACACAAGTCAACATGGCCTACTGTATCAAATAAAAATAAATTTTAAATTCTGGATATAACACATATATATGCTGTTAAGTTTTGCCACTGCATCATTATTTTTGAAACCTGTAAACTACTGTCTCAATTTTGTTCATAGAATCATAGACACATAGAATGGTTTTGGTTGGAAAGGACCTTAAAGATGCTCTAGTTCCATTACCCCGTGCCATCGGCAGCAAACCTTCTGCTAGACCAGGTTACTTAGAGCCCCCATCCAGCCTAGTCTTGAACACCTTCAGGGATGGGGAGCCCGCAGCCTCTCTGGGAAACCTGTTCCAGTACTTCACTGCCCTCACAGTAAAGAATTTCTGCCTAATATCTAAACTAAACCTATCCTCCTTCAGCTTATGGGCATTCTCCCTTGTCCTATCACTATAAGGGCCTTCCCAGCCTTCTTGTAAGCCCCCTCTACGTACTGGAAGGAATCATGCAATCAACATTATCATGTGTCAGGTATATGAAATCATATTAGAAGCTTTATCTTAAGTTAGTAAGGTTATAACATTATACACATTATCATAATCTTAGGCAAAACAAAAACATTACCAGGTACAAAACTACAAGGGATTCCAACAGATTAAAATTTGCACTCATGCATTGAACTTTTCAAATAGATAGAAATATAATTTTACTTACCTTTGTATTCTAGATGGAATCCAGTAAAACTAACAGATCCATCACTCCGAAAAGCCAGATGCATAGTATTTGAACTGCTTTCTATCCTCTCTGGCAGCTTGCTATCTTGAAAGCTCCCAATTAGTGGGCTATTACTGTCTGGTCCATCATAGATATAAAGAAAGTCATAATTTGGTTCTATACTAAAGCTGGAGAACAAAAAAAAAAAAAAGAGAGAGAGAAATGTTAGATAGAATATGCTTTAAGATTTTCACTCTTATTAGCTTAAATTTGAAGTTTATTACCACTGTTTTCATAAAAGGAAAACAAAGTTTCCACTGTCAGAAAAAAAGGTTTGTAGAAGTGTTTTAGTAGAAAAAAAGAAATACCAAAGAAATACCAAATTTTTCGTTTTTCTCTTTAGAAATGATTGTTTGCTGCTAACCAGAAAAAACACCCCACAACCCAAATGTTTTTAAATGGAAAAAAAATTAATAGCATATTTCTAAAGCTTTAGAAAAAAAAAATGTAGACCTATTCGAACTCTTTGCAGAAATGCTTTATGATATAATGCAGTGAGCTGTGGAGTAGAGAATACACAGCTTCTAATCAGACTGAAACACTTTCACACAGCCAGGTGATGATCTTCCCGCAACTTTGAGAGCAGGAAGCATTTTGCCTATAATCAGTTTAAATAAAAAGATGCAGTATTAAAACCTCATCTTTTCTTTTGAAAGAAATTATAGTTAGTTAACTAAGTTAATTAGTTAAGTTTGAATTTAATTTTAAGTTAAGGGTGAGAGTTAACCAATTTTACTTATAAGATTGTCCCTTTTAAAAAAAGATACTTAGTGAAAGAATGAAAATCCAAACTATGTTATCTCTACTTGAAAGTAGCCCCTGATTAAAATAAGTGTAGGTATTGAAGACCTCATAGAGCTCCTTTTTTAATATTTGGGTTATTTCAAAAATATTTCCTTACAAAAGAAATGCAAAAGTTAACACCTTTGATTGTTAAAGTGCCATAGTTTGTCCTGAGTTTAAAAGGATTATCTGGATTAAGTTCCACCCAAAAGCCTTTTTAACATCACTTAGTAGAGTGTTCAAAGTTTCTCACTCTGAAACTGTCTGTGTGTCATAAATGAGGCAATTCTCAGTAAGGATGCACTCTGACCAAGACTAAGCTTCTCAGCTTCTGTCAAAAACCATAGCAATTGACCAGATTTTAAGATATTTAATGTGGTAATATTTGGGATTTATAAACTGTTCATATACTATATTGAGTCACACTGTAAAATATTATTTTTATTCTAAGATGGGGGTTCTCTTATATCTAAATGTACAATATAAATAGCAGAATATTCTTAAATATCTTAAGCTCACGATATTTAACCAAATAAAACAACATGTGCTACTGCAAAATAGAAAGTTCCTTCGCAACTTACATTCTGAAATCACCAACAAAATTAAATAATAAATTATGTAAATATAATTGAACAGCTATTTCCCTAGAATGAATTCACTAAAACACATATTATAACACTGAGCACCAAGAACAGAAAACTATATGACCTGCCTCACTAAAGAAGTCATCACATTAGCACTGATCAGAACAATAAAGACACTATTATAGAACATTTAGCATAAGAAGAATTTAAATTTGATGGGATATCACAAGAACCATTTTTACCTTTTCTGTGACATATTCCCCAGTTGGAATGTATAGTTTTCATACATAATAGATATACTAATTTGCATCCTGTGTTACATACAATGCATACAACAAAAGTTCCTCTGTGGACCTATGAAGGTCAATTTAATCTTGCATTGTAATTAAAGAAAATTCTAGAAAAATTCCATCTAATAACCAGAACATCAGGAAGTGTCTTATTGAAGGATCTTGAAATGATATGGACTAATAAAACTAAATTTAAAGACAGCTATTGAAATTTTGCCTATATAGTTGGTGTCTCAAACAAAATGTGGTGAATCAATAGGTTTCACCATTAAAGACCATCCTGGGTTGCAGAGTTGAATGAGTTACTCCATCCATTCTGCCTTCTCAGGAATTGAATCTTATAAATTGAGCATTTCAACATTAGCCAGTGCAAACAGAGTGCTTTTAAGTAAACAGGAGCAATGAGTTCCCAAGCTCCACTGATCTGTGTATTGAGTACTTTTACGTACTTGTTGTGACTGTTAACAAAGATAACAATTACTAATCAGTTTGATAGTCATGTTAAGTATACATATACTCTGAACAACACCAATAATGAAGTTATAAACGTGACTTTAAAAATTATGAGTAAGTAGCAGATTACCTGATAAATGCTAATGATATAACATAATCATTATTTACAGTGATAGTCCAGTCACAATCTCTGCTGTGGGGATAAGGATGAGGGAAGTTTGGTGAAAGTATAAAACCTGATGAGCCAGTCAGGTTTCCTCCACAGGGAGCTGTGAACAAAAATAGATTGAATTTGAGAAAAGAAGGTAAGAAATAAAGAAGCAAGTAACAGTAATCTGTTCACTGACATTTAATGTCCTCCAAAAGTTAAATAAATAACAACTGAAGGATTTACAAAGCTTTAATAGAAACAAAAAACCTCCATATATTCACATTTTGCCTTAGACCAGTTGTAATACTACTAAGTGAAACACTTGGTTTTGAACTCTGTATCACTTTATTTGCTTGCATAATATTATGTCAAGGCTTTTCTGTATATTCTGTGAACTTGAAAAATGCTCTGGCTACAGACTTCAAAAACTTGACTGGATAAGCTTTCCACTTTCTACTTCTTATTAAAGGCATTCTACAGGAAGCTTCTTAGGCTATGATATATGATCTACTTACATCGATAATGTAATTACCTGTCTTTTCACCAGACAAAACTCACTAGTAATTCAGATCCAGATGGATAAAATATAAATTAAAAAAAAATTAAAATAATTGCAGTCTTCAAACTCAGAGATAGATAAAGTAGCTTTCAAGAACAATCAGAGTAAAACAACCACATTTGTCTATGTGATTTAGAAGTTCCTAAAAGTTGTGGGGTTTTGGTCCAGAAACATAAATAGTAAAAAGAATGAAAGTATAAATAAATTTTGTTCTTCAGCATTCCTTGTGGAAGCTTTCATGTCTCAGCAAGAGAATGAACATGTTTTCTAAAGATTTTTTTGAAAGAACTTCTTAAAATTTTATTCAAAAAATTCTAGATAAGATTTATAAAGAATTATCATTTTGCAAACTTTAATTCTACTAAGTGATCACCTGCAGTTCCCAGGTAAGTAATTGATCACTCAGGTTTTCTGTAACACAGATTCTGTAATTGTGAGCTCTAAGGTTATTTAAATCATTTATAGAATCATATAGATCGAGTCCAACTGTAAACCTACCACTGCCAAGTCCACCACCAAACCATGTCCCTAAATGACACATCTACACATCTTTTAAATACTTCCAGGGATGAGGACTCAACCACTTCCCTTGTCAGCCTGTTCCAATGCTTGGTAACCCTTTTGGTGAAGAAATTTTTCCTGCTACCCATCTAAACCTCCCCTGGTACAACTTGAGGCCATTTCCTCTCATCCTGTCATTTGTTACTTGGGAGAAGAAATGAACACCCACCTCACTACAACCACCTTTCAGGTAGTTGTACAGAGCAAGAAGGTTTTTCCCTGAGCTTTCCTTTCTCTGGACTACACAACCCCAACTTCCTCAGCTGATCTTCATGAGGCTTGACCCTTAACCAGCTTTGCTACCTTTCTCTAGACTCACTCCAGCACCTCAATGTCTTTCTTGTAGTGAGGGCCCCACAACTGAACACAGGATTCAAGATGCAACCTCACCAGAGCCAGGTGCAGGGGGACAGTCACTGCCCTCACACTGCTGGCCACACCATTTCTGATATAAACCAGGATGCCATTGGCCACATTGGCCACCTGGGCACACTGCAGGCTCATGCTCAGTCGGCTGTCGATCAATGCCCCCAGGTCCTTTTCCAACCACTCTTCCCCCAGCCTGTAGCAATGCATGGGATTGTTGAGACCAGAGTGCAGGATCCAGCATTCATCTTATCAAATCTCATACCATTGGCATGACCCATTGATCCAGCCTGTCCAGACCCCTCTGCAGGGCCTTCCTACCCTCCAACAGATCAACAATCCTGCACAACTTAGTGTCGTCTGTGAACTAACTGAAGGTGTGCTCGATCCTCTCTCCCAGATCATCAATAATGTTAAACAGGACTGGCCCCAGTACTGAGTCCTGGAAAACAACTCTAGTGACTATCAACCAACTGTATGTAAATCCATTCACCATGACTCTGGGCCCAGCCATCCAGCCAGTAGTTTACCCAGTGAAGAGTTCATGTGTCCAACCCATGAACAGTCAGTTTCTCCATGAGAATGCTGTAGGAAATGCTATCAAAGTCTTTACTACACTCTAGGTAGTCAACATTCCCAAGCAAGGTCCTTGTCATACAAGGAGATCATGTTAGTTGTTCAGGACCTGCCTTTAATAAACCAATGCTGTCTGGGCCTGATCCCCTGGTTGTCCTGTATGTGCTGCATGATGGCACTCAAGGTGATGTGTACAGATCAAGATGATATGTACAGGTATTATTCAACCTAGTGGGAAATACACACAATATTTCCTTATGTCATGAGAAATACTGTCTCCAGTTCTGGGGCCCCCAGCACAAGAAAGACATTGACCTGTCAGAGCCAGTCCAGAGAAGGAATGATCAGAGGGGTGGAACACCTCTCCTATGAAGACAGGCTGAGACAGATGGAATTGTTGTGCCTGAAGAAGAGAAGGCTCTGGGAGACTTTACAGCAGCCTTCCAGTGCCTAAAGGGGACCTACAAGAGAGCTGGACAGGGACTTTTGACAAGGTCATTCAGTGACAGGACAAGGGAGAAGGGTTTTAAATTGAAAGGTAAGTTTAGGAAGAGATTATTTACTATGAGGGTGGTGAAATACTGGAACACATTGTCCAGAGAAGTTGTGGATACCCCATCCCTGGAAGTGTTCAAGGTCAAGCTGGATGGGGCTTTGAGTAATCTGGTCTAATGGAAGGTGTCCCTGCCCATGGTGGGAACTAGATGGTCCATCCCAAACCATTCTATAATTCTATGATTCTATGATTCTATAATTCTATGATTCTATAAATTAAATCACAAGTAATTTATGAATTCAAGTGCTGCAAGTAGAATGCTTTAGTAGATTAATGCATATACAGTTGTAGTCCATATGAGTGTAATCTTTCTACATTTTATATATTTTTTATATTAAAAGGGAGTCATGAATAGTGAAACTAACTCAAAACAAAAAAAAAATAGAATCTTCATTTACTTTTTTTATTACAAGTCATATGAATTCCGAAATCATCAATTTGTGTGAAAACAGTTAGAAGCTGAAACAACTCCTTGCTTGAGGAACACAAAATTATCATGAATCAATAGTGCTAGTAAATGCATAAAATATATCTTCCAGGTCTAGTACAATTTGTTTTGTTTTTCTTAATAGCTGCCAAATACAATTTTTATCACAATAAATCCCTCAGATGGTTTCAGTTGCTAGGGAAAATTTCATTAGCTACAAGGGAACAGACTGGAGAAGTTTCATTTAGTATAAAACATTTACTTAGTTTACAAGAAGCATAATAATTGCAATTTCTCTGTCTTCAAAAAATTAAAATTGGTATTGTTTAGGAACATCTGTCATTTAATATTCTTTTGTCACAATTCTGAAATAAGTAAAATGAAATTATTACAAAATGATATGCATCCTTTAACTGTAAAAGAGGTCCCCGCAACCTTCTCTCTTGTTGAAGTAAAAGTTCATGCAAAAGAGGAGCTGTGAGGTTATATGGAATGTAAAGGCTGCTCATCAGCTGGAACTACTGTTCTTCAGTATAACCCTGTAGACTCCTCCCCTTCAAGTGCTGTAATAGTTCTGGTTGCACTGTCTGCATATCTCAAGAATGAAAATTTAAAGAGTACCAAAGAGGATATTTAGGTCATTCACTGTAATCAAGCTTCACTGAAATGACCACTAAATTGTATGAGTCTGCTGATATTTTTGAGGTATCTTGAACGGACATATGATGATACAAAGAAGTTAAACTGCTATGTCCTTGTTTCACACTATTTTCTGCTGATGTCTGCATTCATGGTACTTTCCTGATGTCTTGATTTAATTTAGTTATCTGTTAGTTCATTGATAGGACATTTTCGTATTAGTAACTTCTTTTTTATGTACTTATTCTTTCTTTACACACATTAGCAGTTACATTTTCTGTTTACAGTGAGACTGATTCTTTCATTTAAACTGTCCCAAGGTCTAGTTGATAGTCAAAAAGTCTCTCCAGGTAATAAATGAAGGTAGACAGCCAAAACGTATTTTATTTCAAACTATGCCATTAACAGCAGCAAAAAAATCCAACCAAACAGAAAAAACCCATCTTCAATTTTATAGAATATCTCTCAGATAGAATATTCTTTAGATACATCAGTTTCAAGTTATTTTAATTTTTAGTTCATTAGATACTAAGTTGAGAATGTTAACACCATCTAATGAAAAATTATGCTTCTTTTTCCACTTTACCATCTTCTCTAAAGTTCTTCATAGACATTCTCTTCCTCTTTGTGCTTTAATTAAATTTTCATGTGCTTCAGAATCCATAATTTTCTGGATTTAATGTGTGGAAAGTTATTATTAAGTGCCATAACCTTATTTTTAACTGAGGAGAGACCAGTTCTGAAAACAGAGTTTAAAGAACACCTACCTTTTACAAGTATTGGACATAAGACATAGGACTGAACAAATATAACAACCCCTTTAGAAAGAGAGGTAAATGTCAATATGCTATGAAAAATATAATTTTTCTGTGTTATGCAGTGAAAACTAGATGTAGGTTATGTCAGCCTCCCTTTATAAACCTCTGTGTAGACAGAGTCGTAAGCAAGCACTGTGTCTAACTCTCTCTCTGCTGATCTTAGCATTCATTTTTTCTATGGGAGGAAGTACAGGTTGGGTTCCTTTTATTTAAAATCTATTTAATTTCTCTAGAAGGCAAGAAACTATTATTCACCAGCTTTCTGTCCTTTATTTATTTATTCTTTAAATTACTTCTTAACAAAACAAACAGAACGTACGTGGTATTTTTGTTGGGTTTTTTTTCTAATAAGAGCTATTAAATAAAGAATCGTAGAAAGGTTTGAGTTGGAAAGAACTTTAAATATCATCTAGTCAAAACCCATTGTTATGAGTAGGAACGTCTTCAAATAGATCAGGTTGCTGAGAGCCCTGTCCAATCTGACCTTGAATGTTTCCAGTGATGGGACATACACGACTCCCTGGGCAACCTGTTTCAGTACTTCAACTACCCTAACTGTAAAAATTTTCTTCCATATATCTAGCCTGAAGACAAATTTAAATAATCATAATGAAATATGAAATAACTGCTGAAATTTTACTTTATATTAGTGTCATATGGATCACATTTTTTAGGAAAGCACCACAGGAATTAACTGTTTACAAGGTCTTTTAATGAGAAAAACAACAGAAACTAGCAAAACCAAGCCACAATTTAAAAAAAAATATATAATTGCCTATGAATTTCTGAAGAAAGTCAGAAATTTCTGGGAGACAGTCTATACCTTCCCTAAATGTATAGTTAACCTGAATCCCAAAATGACTTTTTGCAAGCCACTATTTTTAATATTGTCACTGAGAAAACTAAGCAAACACAATCATTTAAAGTTCTGGTATCTAGACACGATTGGATCCAGAAAATCTTTGGAATGGAAGATATCTAGCTATTTTTTGCACCGCAGGCATAAGCCAAAGGACTGTCTTTTGGTAGAGGCATGCTCTCAAATTTATGGTTTTTCAGAATATCTTCAGTATAGAAGAGTTTCTAATTATTATCTGTCATTCAAATGCATGAATAGCTCTTTGTAATTTTCCCATTGCGACTACCTTTAAAATGAAGATGTTCTTAAAATTTTGTTACAACCAAGACACTCCCACAGGTAGGAACAATTAACAAATACATTTTAGTTTTGAGCATTAATAATAAGGAGGTTCGAAAAGACACTTTGAAGTGTAAAGAGCTAATAAAATAAATCTAGAACACGGTACAAGTGTACACCTCAGGAATTATCCCTGCCTCTTATCTTCCATCAAAATTATGTTTCTTTTTTCCTAAGGCTTTGATAAACCATGATGATGTTGAAGTTATGTGTAGAGTAAGTATCGTAGTTTTGATTTACAGGCATGGAAAGAACATTAACGAATACATTACAAGTTCGGGAAAAAAAATCAATGAACCTCAAGGTGTACTGAACTACAACACACAATTTTGAAAGCTCTTGGCTCTAAGGCAAGATTTGCACACTCTGCTTTAGTCTATTAGCAGTTCATATTCCCCAGCAATGTATCATTATAGGAAATCAATAGAAGATAACTTCATGCTTGATATTTGGGGAAATAAATCACCATAATAAGAATTCCTGCTACTCTATACACAGTAGGTGTTTGTGCATAAAGCATGGAAATTACCAGTATTAGGTAAATGGATGCGTGTAGTTAAAAAACAAGTGTATGCATATTAACACGTGGTAAGGACAGAATGTCAGGTGAGCACTTACATTTAATGTATTTAATGATATCATCAACTCAAGAGTGATAATGATTAAAACTCCAAGTACTGCTTTATAAAAGGGTAATTATTTTTCAGTTGAAAAGTATATTTTAAACCCAACAATATCAAATAAGGCCAGCATGACAGAATATATTAACTATAAGGTCTCTTCCTAGAGCCCTGGAATTCATTTTACTTTTTCACTTAGACACCTACAGATGTTCAGTTAGTGTTATAAATACATATTTTCACATATAAAAATTATAAGAGATAAACAATAAAATATTTCTTTACTGAAGTCTTCAAGCAAATAGTCTAGACAGTTCTTGTCCTCAAGCCCATACACTCGCACTACATAGGAAAGCATAGTAAGAAGAGTAAGAATAGAGAAAATAACACTTTGACAGGTTAAGTAGAACAGCCGAGACACCAAGTCAGTACTGTAATATGTTTGCAAACACCTGTCTGCAGCCATGCCTAAACAGGGGAGGTGGTGTGCATACATGCATATGAAAATAGAATGCAGACTTTATTTGCAACAGCTAGGGTCAAGTTAAGTTTGTCAAAGGAAAGAGAGTTTTTGAAAGCTAAACAGTGCTCCCAGCAGTTGCAATCTCTGGCAAGTTCCTCCCTGAAATATTTGTCCAAGACAAGACTAGCAGGGATAGTAGTCATTGACATAGACCTTCTTGTTTTCTCTGTCACAGATCATCAAAGTATAAATGATACGACCCTGAGAGGAAAAGGATGAGAACTATTATACTAGCAACTATAGAGGAAAGGTTTTGGTTATGTCCATCAGGGCTTTATGCAAAATAATTTCTCAGATATGCAGTACTTGTATGTTCGTCAAAGCAAGTTCCTAGAGCAGTGTGATTCATTACATCAGGATTTCTATTTTTAGGAAAGCATTATTTGATTTTTTTCTTCATACCTATACAGACTGGTGGGTTGGGCTGCCAGAAGTACCGATTTTCTACCTGAATGCAGGTTATTCTCTCATCTCCTTGAAGTTCATAGCCAGGGTCACACTGAAAAATGACAGTGTCTCCAGGTTCTCTTCCATCCCCATTTCTAGTTCCATTCATGGGGACTCCAGGATCACGGCAGGCAGTGGCTACAGAACCTAGCAGCAAAATAAAAAATAAAAATAAATTTTTGAAAAAAGTAATCTTTTCAATGCATTTTGCCCCATTACATTTTTCTAATCAGGAGGCTCTGCAAATTCAAAATTTTCCTAATCACTTCTAAAATTTTGAGAAATCCTCCAAATTGAGAAATCTGCTGCTTTTATACTATTAATTTTTGCTGCCTCCTTTAGGTATTAAAAGTGCCTAATTTTTCTTTTAATTATTTTTGTTTAAATTCTGTGGACCACTGCAATATGTAAAAAGGAAAGTAGGAGATTTCCTAGTACCCTGGACATGTAGCACTTTTAACTTAGAGTGATTTATAATATGAATAATGGAAAAAAAATAATGGAAAAAACAGATTAAGAATTTCAGATTTTCCAATAAGGTACGCTTGTATATATTTTCAATTCTCCACAATTCTGTAGGTTATAAATATATGTATGGTGTAACATTTAGGAGTGACCTTGGAAGTAAATTTCATTGATCGCTCATATCCATACCCTTGCACATGACCTATCTGCAATGCTAGACCTTTAAATTAATATCAAAGAAATAACACAAAAAATACACATAGATTTAGTCTGATAGAATAGACAGCTATATATAATGCATAAATACAGATTATTATTAAGACAACAAACAATCACAATGACTACAAGGGAAATATGAGAAATGTATAGATATTATCCCCATACTTAATATATTCTGATCAACATATTATTTAATATATTATGCACCAAAATATGTAAGCCTAAGTAAAAGGTAAGCACTTCAATGTTTATATAAGTAAATTTTATTTCCTACTTACATTATAGAACTGAAACATGTATTATAAATAAATACCAAATGTCAGATTTGCCTGTGGAACTAGTCCTGTTGAGCTCAGCAATCTGTGCAACATAAATACAAAGTGGCAGTACTGAGATTTAATTCAGATGCCCTCTTTCTGGGGAGGTAATATCAGCAGACAGTAATCTATTTTTCCAAAATGCATGGGGGTTATGTATTTACAATGTTTTTGAAGAGCAAATCTTGGTCTATATAGGTTATTTCTTTAAAAAAAACAAAAACACAAGTACCTTTCTTTCCAAAATATACTTAACACAACATAAAAGAATAAGATCTATAAAGTCATGGGGTTTTTTATGGAGCTGTTTTTCCACATAAGAATACTGATTACAGGGGAGAAAAGTCCCCACAAAAACATCCTCAAGAAAAATCAACTGCGAACAGAAGTAAGGGAAATTTTTCCTCCTTAGTCCTCAAACATTAAAGAAATATTTCGTTAAAATGTTAACTACTGGATAATAAATGAAAGATAACGATTTTTTTAAATTGCCATGCAATTTTTTTAAATTTCTGCTTTAGACACAATGGTCATGACTCTTATTTATATCTTTAAATATGCTGCTGAGTTTTAATTTAGAAAAAATATTACTGAAATATGAAATTACTAAATTCATTGCACTATACTAGCAGAATAAGATACTGGATCTAGATTACACTGGAACAAAATGTCATCAAATATGAAAAGGGTCAGATCAGAAGTAAAAGAAAAAAACCCTTGAGGTAAACTTAGACTGAAGCAAGTAGTAAAACCCAGTCATATATTTATCTGCATCCCTCCCTGCTGCGAACACAGGACAAACTGTGTTTGGTGTTGGCCAGTCAGAGCAGTCCACATTGGAAAGAAAGTGTGTTGTGCCCACTTAAATACTACCTGCCTTGAATTTTACCATAAACAAGAAAAACACTCCGATTCATCTAAAACATGCTGGTATCAATTCCAGAAGAATGGGAGCTGATACTTACCCAGAATTTGTAATCAGTCTTGGAGGGCCAAAGAGACAAAGCTGTTGTTGTAAAATTTGTTATTGTCTGTAAATCACATTGCTCTTACTAGATTGCATTGTTCTACAAAGAAATTGTGTATGGCTGAAAAAGATGCTAAGGGGGCACACAGACCTATTTAGATTTTCTGATACAATCTGGTTGGGTGTTTTAATCACTTAGTAATATCTATGCAAATTCACTTTACAATATGAGATCTATATCCCAAGCTTATAACCTTTCCCTTATTTGCCATCTTGCATGCTTGCATGCTTGTTCAACCTACTTCTTGCTCTTTTGGCTCTGTAGCCAAATTGGTGAAACATGGATTGGATACATGGTGTATGAAAAGGATGGAAAACAGGCTGATCTGCCAGGTTCAAAGACTGCCCATGATCCAAACCCTAGGCAGGAGCTGATTAGCAGCAGTGTCCCTCAGGGGTGGATGTTGACTTCAATATTCATTAAAGATGAGGACAATGAGACAGAGTAAACTCTTGGCAGGTTTACAGACACTGGAGGATCAGTTGATATGCTCTAGTGCAGGAATGCTGTTTAGGGAGGTCTCAATAGGCTGGAGAAAAAGGCTGATAGAAACTTCATAAAATTCAAAAAAGGAAATGCAGAATCCTGCATCTGGGGCAAATCATTCCCAAGAAACAATTTACTAGAAAGCAGTTTTACAGAAAAGAAATAGAGAAGACAAGAATTCTTCTAGGGAGTGTGTATACGGCAAAAGCACGAACACAGCGTTTAGAAGTTGTAACAAGCAAAAATCCAGCTGCATAAAAGAAAACACTGGTTCACTGCAAGTGTGGTCAAATATCATGATTTTTGTTTTTTTGTTTTTTTTACAGAGGGGTTGTTTTATGTCCAACCTTGGAGATATTCAAAGCCAAACACAGGTTGATCTGTTTGACTAGAGCATAAGTGGTAGAGTTCTTTGTTATTAAATCAATAAAAAGAATACATCACATTTTATTCTATCACAATAACTGGAAACTGAGAGTATGGAAAATACTTATGGTCAAATTGCCTTGAATAACTAGTGAGGTACAATTTGTAAATGTAATCAATTACATAGCTGTTAAAATACATTTTTGATGGCAAATAGACAAACTCCAAAATGTGTCTATTACCTGGTATATGCAGCACGATCAGTGCAAGAGTAACTCTGTGTGTAGCATAAACCCGTGTGTGATCATATGAGAGCTTTTTTCCTCTAATGAAGGTAGAGAAATGCAGAAACATGCTTTATTTTTTCTTTGGGCACTGCTAGTTTAGAATAATCACACCACAATAAGCCAAACCATTTGTGCTAGATTAGGAATTCAAAGAGACAATTCTTGATAAAAACTCCAGCATTATGACAGGGATGAGTGGGACTAATTTTTAAACTGTTCAGTGGGTGAGAGATTACTGAACATATTAGACACACAGAGCTTGCATGACTTTCTACATGATCAGAGTGACAGAAAGTGTTTCAATGTAGTTATTACACACTTCTGAGCTGAGTGTGTTCATGAAATATAACTCCAGATTGTGTCTGGGTTTACAATGGGGCATAGTTTTAGAGCAATGTATTGTTTTCATTTGCATAAAACTAAATTGGAAGATCCATTTCTGAACTACAGTAGAACACTTTGAACTACCCGTGAACAGTGTTGCCAGCAGTAGTTCAGTACCAGTTGTTTCAATCTATATATCAGTTCCACTTGATCTACATTATTTGTGCACAGAGAAATAACCAAAGGCCCCACAAGTGAGACTTAATATCTCAGATATCCATATAACACATTCTCTAATGCAGACTTTGAATATGAGACCACTAATCCTCCAGAAAACATGTGTCAATGCTCAGGCAGAAGTAATATTTACTCTGGAGAGTTACTTATCTTGCTCCATTCCTGCTATATGACTCAAAGGAAGAGGGGCAGAACCTTGTTTTGTAGTTTCATGGCAGCCAAGCCATGCAAAAAATTCAGCTCCCCTCCCCCCCCAAATTGTTTGGATTTGTCCTAAGAGCATTCATATGAACAGATGCATATGTTCTGAGCAGTTGAGAGGAGGGAGTATTTTAAATTATCTTTTTACTTGCTGTACAATACTATGCAAATGCTCCTACAGAGCCACTGAAGTTGTTAAACCCAGAAAAGGTGTAAACACAGATCTATCTACAAATGTCCTTTATGTGGGATATAAAAACATTTTGACACATCTTTTTAATAATAAGGCACAAAAATACCTTTAAGTCCTAAATCAGATAATTAAATATTTTAAGTTGATAACTCCTGTCTCAAAAAACGTTACTGTCAGGGTCAAAAGGTTTCTGATAGTTTATAAGCCCAGGCAATTTAAGATGTGACTGAAATGTCCTAAAAGGACATCTCCATTTTCATGCAGGAAAGATACTTTGAAACATGGCATTGAAAGTGTGACAAGGTTGCAATAAACTAGACCGATTCTGGGATCAATATAATAAATGTCTCGGAATTTCTTGCTGTTAACAGTGATTTCTAAATTTAATGTTCTAATGCATGCCAAGTCCAATATCAGTAAGGAGTCCTAATCCCCACCCTGAAGAATTAGAGAAGATTCTTCTCAACACAGAATCAGGCCAGAAGCTCTAAGCTTTCCAAATTTCAAGCCCTCCATAGTACACAGCGTGTTAAAAAAAATTATTAACTTCTTTAAACCAACATGTTCTTCCAAACTTCTATCACTTTAAATAAAGGCTTTCCAGTATTGCTGGTCTTTCAAACTTGCGCTGGCCTGAACCAATCCTGACAGATTGCACCTTCAAAATGCGAGCTGCCTCAAAATCCATGTAATACCTTTACCCGTACGGACACTGCAGTCTCCCTGCATCTCTAATGCTTTTTGAGAACCAGGTCAGTCTGGTATTTGCTACCTCAAATCCAACCTTCTATACAACTTTTCCTGAAAAAGAAATAATAAAATATCTACAGGGTTTTCATTGTCTTCTACCGACAGAAACACTGCTTATAATTTTTTTAATCTATTTTTAGCTTTTATTTCTGCTGTAGATCTAACAGGGATTTAGGAGAATAGTTGATATAATTCTTAAGTAAATTCTAACCACAGACTCTGTTTGTTGATTTTACATGACTTCATAGATTCTTTCTAAGTTTGTCAGTCATTG